ATCTTAGCAATTTCAAGAGTGCTGCATCCCACTGAAAGACTTTTTACAATTTTTGACTTTTCAGCATCTGTTAAAAATCTCTTTTTTGGCCTATTTTACCTGAGATAAGAAGCTGCTTAATGATATAGGGTGTTGATCTTCTTAGGCCACACCCTCCCTTATTACACAAATACACATCACCAGATATGCTTAAATCTAATCAGCATTCAAGTTTATACAGCTTGGAGTTGGGCAATATGCATAAAAATGATGATTTGGTCAAAAAACTCACTTGTCTAATAATTGTGCACACAATGTAGTGTGAGGGTTGGAATTCCATCGAGGGTTAGTGTCAAGGTTGGGGCTCCCGGAAGGGTTAGTGTCAGGGTTGGGGCTCCAGAGAGTCATAATGGGAGGTTTCAGGCTCTACAGAAGGTAAGTGTGAGGGGGCATTAGGGTGTAGATATTCTAATCCCAAAATATAGTTTAGTGCTATGAACACTTTTTCCTTCTCCTGGGGGGAGGAGGCAGTTCATATAAAATCCAGAATGTGGTTTTTGATAAGTTATATCACATAAAAACAGTTTTAACATAATATAAAGATTTTACAGAAAGTAGATATATTACAGATAACTTAAACAGTTCATAATAAAATGAAGAATCATCACACATTGCAGATGGAAAAGGATCTTTTATTACATAAAGGTTTTTAGAAAGAGAATTTCAGTATTGTTATCTTTAATGATGTCTTCAGATATGTTCCTTTCCTTTGCCAGTTCTTAGAATGATGTTCTTACAGGTTCTAAAAGGAAAAGAATATTGAATGAATAAACTAGACTCAGATGTTGCTGTCATACTGTGTGGTTATAAAGAATATTTAAAAACTTGTTCTTCTTTGATGACCTCCTACTGTTTGCACACCTGTAGTCTATATGCTGTTCTGCAACATCTGAATCAACATAAGTGGTTTTACAGAAGTCTGTGGGAATTCCAGACTATCCAAAACACTACAGAGACACAGGGATTGGACACATGGGTGGTACTGAGTTTCTAAATGGCTGTATCTGCTGAAGCATGCTATTGAGCAAAGTGTAGCATACATATTACGCCACCTTCCACCGACCAGCTTCATAATTCTTCCTGAATTTCTTTTTTTAACTGTGATTAATTGTGTGCACATTTGGCTTTTATTTATTCAGCAATGTATTGTGAATCTTAATGTTAAATTTAAATATTTTTGATAATGTGGGCTTTACTTTCAGCAAAAGTAAGAGGATTTTTGAACCAGATTCTTAATGCTAATGACATGCAGGAAAATGTACAACAGTCAACTTAGGGTGAGAATAAACATTTAAAAAATAAGTTCAATAAACATATTACATAGTACTGTACACATATTACAAGAGAAGTGTAACTCTTAACAGAAGGAGAAAGAAGCAGTTTTCTCCCGGGCTTTAGAGGAGAGAACTTCCTCTTGCTGTGAGGGACTGCAGAGTGCACATCATGGCTGCGGTGTGTGTACTCATCATCTGTAGCCTTAGGACTGGAGTACTGAGGACTGGAGTCACCCTGAGTACAAAGCCATAAGGATTTCTGGCAGCCAAGCTTCCAGATTGGAGTTTGCTGAATGTCTGGGACTGGTGAGCAGCCATGTTTGATTTTGCCATGGCTAGCAGACTGTGCAGGAAAAGACTGGACATCCATACAGTATATGGGTGGGGCCAAGTGGTTTGCACACAAGAATGGCAAACAATGTCATGCAAAGTCCAGCGGAGGGCTGTAAAATTATTATTTAAGTGGAAGATAACAGTGGTTAACAGCAGAGGCAACAACCGCAATCATCAGTACTTGATATGCTGTCTGTGACAACAGTGACAACTACTTGCTTATATTATAGCTCAAGGCAATATGGAAACAGTGGTACCAGAACACAGGCACACAGGTGTGAAAGGTTGATAATGTTGACACACAATGGCAAATTTCCAGCAGCAAGGTTGTCCCTTGGATAAATCTTATGTTACCAAGGCACCTTTTTGAGAAAGAGGTGGCTGATAGGCAGAGTGCAGTGCATACAGCAATAAAATAACGGTGCAAGTTCTAGTTCCCAGCACTATGGTCTGGGAGTTCAGACAAGCAGACCATGGTGTTATAGTGTGTCAATTTTCATCAGGAACCTTTCCCTAGGGCTAAGTATGCTGCCCCTAACCAGTGGGGATCCTGATCCTACTCTATCCATTTCACAACCATGCACCATCCACAGCGGGGCTCTGCTATTTTTTAGCACTGCCTTCACCAAAGATGGCTACTGAGATCATCCAGAGTTCCAGTGTTCAATGAGACCACTGCTTCCCCAGTGGCAGCTACGGAAGTTGCAGGGAAATAAAAGCTCCTCTCATCCTCCATCCCTCTGTACTGCGGTCTACACACTGTGCTAACTATGGTAAGGAGGGTAAACTGCACCTGTCTACAAGTAGCCTTTATTCACTGCAGACTTTTAAAGAGGAGGGTACAGATGTGTAACAACTTAAAGACTAAGACCCACCGGTTTGCTGGCTGAAGATTGCAATTCAGGAGCCATATACTTACCAATTGCTCCACAATAACCCTGAACTGAGCTACTACTAAACTGCTATGTAGTTAGTTTGGTTAGCCTACTTTGAGCAAACAGTTTCTTTTACCAACTCTTTTATATTTGTGCATTGCTATTTACTTTTGCACTGTGACAGTATACTTGCTTTACTTACAATTAAGCATTCTAGTGATTATTTCCTGATACCCTAACATAATTGTGTGTAGGATACTGATACATGTGCTCACATGCATTTGCAGCAACCCAATACTCATGCAGGTGTGTCAGAGGGGCTGAATCTGTTCCTAGAGTTGTGGCAAAGAACAGAAAACCCATTATACTAAGCAGCTCTTTCGGGGGTAAGCACTACAGAAGTTTTTTTGATCATACATCTCTTCTGGGTAACAGTAGTGCACTTATTTCTGTACTCCTGAGACCCAGATTCAGCCGACAGTGGGATAAAACTTTAATGTCAGGATCCGCTTAGATGCCTGACTGGCAGCTGGCTCAGCCTCTCAGTGTGCTGCAGAGAGCCTGAGTTAACTGCCTCTGCCTCCTCCACAGCCTGGTGCTCAGGTGAGCACTGGAAGGGCAGAGCAGAGAGCTGGTGATTGACCATCACCGCTCTCTGCTCAGTGAATACCGAGAACTAAGTGATCATGTGATTGCTCAGTTCTTGGTCTTAGAGCCAGTGGGGATCATCTGCAGTGTCTGACTGGTGCTGCAGCCATATAGGTGAGTATGTGTGTTTGTTTTTTGGTATCCCGCATTTCTCTTCTGAAAGAAAAACTGCACTTTTAGCAAAATGTGCTATAATGCCTGTAGTACAATTTTCAAAACTTTGGAACAATTATTACAGGGATTATAGCACAGTTTGCACAAGTATGTATTCCCAATATGTTTACTGTTAATGTTGTATTCTTTCATTGTTGTAACTACCTAGATACCAGCATGTTACACCCTCTTACTTTCCAGGCAAGTAAAAACTGTTTTAAAGCATCCATTTAGAAGAATAGGTCTCCCCCACCAGCCATTTAACTACAATGGCAGGTCATGACAGAGTTAACAAAGAATGCACACAAAATAAAATTTAAATTACTTAAGCGAAGCAGAACAATAAGGAAATCTCAGCACATATCTATAGCACAAATAAAATTAAAATGTGAAATAAGAGAAGCTAAACAGTCAATGCTAAGGATGCTGATGCTATGTGTAAGGCTTAAAATGTGCAACTTACACTGTTGATCCAGGAGGTGTAAGCAGACACTCTGGTGAACACAGTGGGCTTCAGATAAGCATTGCAACCAAGGGAGGATACAAAGCTGGTGACACCATGGACCTGGTACACACCGTTGACAGCACAGTTCAGAGGTCCACCAGAATCACCCTAAAAAAGGATAAAGCTGAAATCAGAGAGAATACTGGAAAACTGTTTCACATAGAACCCCATTAATTGTTTTTACAACTGTTTCTTTCATAGTGGCTTAAAAGCGAAGTGCCCTGCCGCCTCTACGCCAATGAATGACCACTGATCACCCAGTTCTCAGTCTTAGTGAACAAAGAGTTGGTGGCTGTCAGATTGTGTCTTCACTATCAATTGAAATCCACTTTCCTGTGTGTGGCATATTGATTGAATGGGTTGTGGACAGGGGCAGACTGACAACTTGTGGGGCCCCCGGGCAATAGGGGATCATGGGGCCCCTGTGTCCTTGCCCAAACTCAAAAAAGCCTATGAAAAAGGTACCAGGGGCATCTCATGGGGCCCCCTACTGACCTTGGGCCCTCGGGCAGTGCCCGAGTTTCCAAATGGTCAGTCCGCCCCTGGTTGTGGACTATAAAGAATTATTCCTATTAGAAGAGATCAATAAGAAATCGATCATTCATTTAAAGCAGTGGTCCTCAAACTACGGCCTGCGGGCCATATACGGTCCGCCGAGGATATTTATCTGGTTCGACGGGCAGGGGCATATCTGCCGTGAGGCAAGGGACTAGGATTTGGCAGGTCGGGAGAGCTCCGCAAGGCTCAGCCAGGAGGCAGGAGGGCGGGATCAGCAATTCTAGCACAGGGGAAGGTGGGCTCGGCTTATGAACCTGCACCACTCACCTAGCCTCTCTGCAGCCAGCCGGCCATCTATTCTGATCAGTGCATGCAACCGTCACGGCCGGAGGGCGGAGGCGGAGCCAGAGAGGAGACTCCATTGCTGCATGTCGGGTATCACGGCCACGGACCCTAGATAAGTGCAATAGATGATCGATATCCTCCCTCTCTCTTTCCCCCCGCTCTCCCTCCCCCTCCTCTCTCCCCCCCCTTCCTCTCTCTCTCCCCCCCCTCCTCTCTCTCTCTCCCCCTCTTCTCTCTCTTCCCCTCCTCTCTCTCTCTCCTCCCCCCTTCTGTCCCTCCCCCCTCTCTCTCCCCCCTCACCCCCCTCCTCTCTCTCCCCCCTCCTCTCTCTCTCTCCCCCTCCCCTGTCTCTCTCCCTCCCCCTTTCTCTCTCTCCCCCTCCTCTCTATCTCTCCCCCTCCCCCCCCCCCCCCCTCCCCCTCCCACTCCTCTATCTCCCCACTCCTCTCTCTCTCTCCCCCTCCTCTCTCTCCCCTCCTTATCTCCCCCCCCTCTCTCTTTACATTGTACACAGATCTGACCCAACAAGGTGTCCTGCATTTACCGTATATTTCGCTCCATAAGACACACTTGGGGGGAAATGTCTGTGCGTCTTATGGAGCGGCCGGCCCAGTATTCCCGCCGCTGTTGTATGTCCGCAGTCTCTGGTCATCTCCTGTACTATGTCCGCAGTCTCTGGTCATCTCCTGTACCGTGTCCGCAGTCTCTGGTCATCTCCCGTACTGTGTCCGCAGTCTCTGGTCATCTCCAGTACTGTGTCTGCATTTGTTCATAGTTTTTTTTTAAAAACTATAGTCCGGCCCTCCAACGGTCTGAGGGACAGTGAACTGGCCCCCTGTTTAAAATGTTTGAGGACCCCTGATTTAAAGCATGTAAAGGCCACCAGTTAAGTTTCTCTGGAAAACAGCCCCAGTATTATAAAAATAAAACCTGTTCCTTGCTAGCATTCTGCAGAGAAGGACCTTTGCTCTCTGTAAGGAAGTCGTGGGCTCTCTGCAAAGCACTGACTGAGTCTGAGAAAGCTTATGCTGTCTGCTGATGGGGTAGCTTTAGTTCTGACACAACATAGGGTGTGTCAGAACTCTGCAGAAAGACTGTTGTTCTTCTTTGCATCATGCTGGCAGGGAACAGGCTTTTCTACTCTGGTTTATAAGGATATTTTCCAGCTGGTTGGAACTCAAACAGTTATGATCAAAGATCACAAAATCACGTTATCACTTCCTACACTAAACAGCCTGACTATGGCTAGTGGGTCATGTTGGTGTTTTGATCAGGGCTGGATCTGAGACATTTTTGGACAGTTGTACTTACATTGCAACCAGCCTGGACTCCATTGCCACCAGCGCACACCATGGATGTCTTCACAGTGCTGCCCCAGTAGGAGCTGGTAGAGCAAGTTGAGTGGGCAACGACGGGCAGTGGAGCCTGCTGGAGGATGGAAGGCAGAGATCCACCAGCTGCAAAAAAAAAAGATTTATTAAAATTTGTAGAACTACTGGTATGAACACTTTATATATTAGCTCATAGTTATGCATTATATCCTGATTCTGAAACAAAACTAGGAATGCCTGGACTTTCCATGTTGCAAGTTACAGAGGTGTAAAGTATGAATTTCATATAAAGAACAACAACACATACATCTATTAACATTCACTTAGAGCTGATGGAGTCTAGATGTTCTTTGATAATATAACTGGAAACTGATCATTTAAAAAACTTCCTAATGATAAATGAACATATAGTATACAGTATGTTGAAATAGAACAGGTGACTCATTAAATTTAACAGATTATTCATCTGTGCCATCCTGTCCACTACATTATGTTGAATGATAGTATGGCTTACACAGTACTGAATAGGGAAAATTGCACCACGTCATTGAAGATCATCCCTGTAAAGCAATGACATGATGGTGACAAGAAGTGGCCACAGACAGGTTTCCTAAACAGTATCTGTTGGGTTGCCAGTTTAGATTTTGTTCAAGCATATGGTAAATCTGAAACTGAAAGTTCTATGCTGAGAAAATCTGGTACGCAGCTTTTTGTTTCATCTGTGTCATGTCTATAGAAAAAAACGTTTTTTTTGGTGTTTAAAGGAGGTAGAAAGAAGTCATATTAGGTACTGTATCTTGAATGCAATGGTAAACCTAGCAATGGGACAGAATTCATCAGATTATATTATTTGTAAACCTATTTTGCAGCAACTTACTGGTGGTCCTTCCCCATCCGGTAATGGTGCAGCTGTAGTTGTTAGCAAGGATAGCACCATCCGCTGGCATTGCAGCCAGTTGTACATAGCTGTTCAGAGTAGCGCTAGCAGCCAGATGGAGGACGGCAATATCATAACTGCAGTGACAAAGTATAACACATACACAGTTAAATACAGCAAACATTTTTACATGTGGATACAGAGGGGAAAGTATACAACCAGTATCAAGAATGTATTGCTGTTTGTGACCTCATTGGGGTATTTCCCCTTTGCTACCTGTTCTTGTGAATACACGTAAAGTAAGGGGAAATCTCGCCAATAGACCCACATCTCTACCCTCCTTTGAAAGATTCTGCTCACTTCCTTTCCTAGAGGCCAAACAGAAAGCAAGTGGAAACTTCTAAACCAGACAGCAGTTAAGACCTAACAGGGATCCCTACTCCACCACCTGAAAAAATTTGTTTTGGCTGGAGTTGGGCTTTAACTTAGCAAAGTATTTAGCTTTTATCTCATACCTGCCAAGCATGCAGTGTAAATACACTCTATAATTTTCAAACTAGGCAACACCTTTGCTTGTTAAAATGGTAGCAAATATAAAACAAATTCCCTGCAAGGCAATGGCATAATATGCAATGCATTCTAGCACATTATGTAAAACTTACCTAAAAATGAATCCCTTCAGCGGGGCGCTATCACCGTTGTAAAGGCTTCCATTTTCATCCAGCCATCTGACTGGCTGAGCCACGATGGAAGTCATGGGCCGCGGCACAGTACTCTGAAAGAACGCCACAGGTATGCCGTTCCTTCAGTGCTAAATACGCCAGCTAAAAAAAACCTGAATATCTCCTAACGTTTAGGAGATATTCATTTTACCTACAGGTAAGCTTTATTATAAGCTTACCTGTAGGTAAAAATGAAAAAAGTGGCTTTACTACCACTTTAAAGCTGAACATCAAGCAGATATAATAGACAAATATTTAGAGTGTTGTTATTTTTCAAATGCAAGCTTTGTTAGTTGCTAAATTTAACTTGGTGACAGCCTTTTGTGATCCCATGTATATCAAAACTCAGAATAGTAAAAGGAGTTGCATCACAAGGAACCAATCAGTTGTGCTAAATTGCTAGCATGCTAACAAAACCTTTTTTTCATTAACTGCAGCAGAGAAAAATCAGGTTTCCTTCCCTGTCAGACAGGACTGGCTGTGTGGCAGAGGTGGGTAAATCACAGAGCAACTAGATCAGGGCTGCAAAACCTTTTAAAGAGCAAGGGCCACTTAAATGATTTGGTATCTGATTGCGGGCCACAATGAACTATGGGGTTTCACTGCCACCCCCCAAACTGTAATGAGCTCTTACTGTCCTGAGCCCCCTATAAGGCTGCTTTCACACTGATGTGCTGTGGTTCACCACACCGTGCGTGCAGCGCAGAGCACCTGTGGCTTGCCTGACAGTTAGCTGCAATGAGCCATAGACTTCTATTACATATTGAGGATGTGGTGCACTTTCTGAAAGCGCATCAAAACTCCTGCATTAAGGACCAGTGTGAAAACAGCCTAATAACCCTTTTTTATAAGTGCTAATACATCCATTGCAAAAAATGCAGTGTATGCGATGTTTAATACATTGACTTTCTTTTCCTATTACAGCTTCTGCTGGAATCTCTCTACAGGCTACTAGAAAGGTCCCAGGTGAAGTGCCCTTGGTATCACTCTGCCTGAGACAGGAGCAGGTGCTATAGAGGAAGCATCAGCTGTGTGGCTCCTGCTTCCTTTGCGGCCACCTGTTTCTTCCACTACCAGGGGGGCTTCAGGCACTCCAATGCTTGGAATGGTGGGCCAGCAACCCTTTGATCATGATCTGGGCTTACCAGCCCGCCATCCCAGAGTATGGCCATGCATTTCCCTGGTTTGAGGTCCCTGGCCACATCTGAGGACTCCGTGGGCCAGGGGGTTGCGCACCACTGAACAAATTTATTAGAGGTTGGAGTTCAGCTTTAATATTAGTAAATCTTGTTGTGCAGATGTACAGGATTGTGTTAGGTGACATCAAGATTTCTTTCAAACCGAAGCACCAGTTTCATGCCAAAACTCTATGAATTGTACATATTTTTATTATAAAATGCTTTGGTTGAGATTCATGTCAGTTAACAAAATTGTTACACATGCAAACGTTCCTAGTTTTGCTTATTATGCAGTAAACGTTTTAAACAAAACATCATATTTGAATTGCAAACTGAAATTTTACTTTAGATCGCATTATCTTAGTTCTTACCCAGCAGCTACATTGTTGGTATTCCATGAAGCATGAATACGGATTGAAGACACTGAGATCACCTGTTCAGTTCCATCGTTTGCACTAAGGCTGTGTTCTCCCAACACCACACGATAGGTGGCTACCCTGAACATAGTCAAAGGGAAAGTCAGCTAAATAACATTAAAAATGAAGTATTCAGAAATCTGGTTTTACACATAACAGCTACTGTTTGCTCATATCAAAAGATGAACTTTTACTTTTTCAAGATTGCCTATACCTCGCATCCTATGTACTGTATACGATAGTAAAATTAACCCCACACACGCCTTGGCCTCAGATTCAAACTAGGGAGCCAATAAAGTACCTTGGCAAGGATAGCTACCATTCTGAAACCAGTAGCCAAACAAATAAGTAAATAATTACACCTGTTTGTGGTATTTTAAGGGGAAACAAAGGCACAGCTGATGTGCCAACATCAGTATCGCAACTATACTATTACTGTACTGTTCTGTCGTGATCATGGCAAAACATGACTATAGCATATGTCAAGCAACAAAACTTTTGGACAGAGTGAGGAAAGATTAAAACTATTGCATGGTTTTTACTGCTATCCGCATATCCCCCAACTGTCCTCGATTTATTGGGACTGTCCCGCTTTGGGAGCAGTTTCCTTCTGTTTCACTTTCCTTTTTAGTTGTCCCTCTTTTTGGTCTGTTATATAGGCCTCTATAAAAAATATTTACCTATCAAAAGTTTTATATTGAACTAAGGTTTATATCCAAGCTATGAATAATAGTATGTGCAATTTTTGAAAGCTTTTTTAAAGGAAACATAATGGTGAAAAAACATTTGTTGCTTACATTAGATAAAATAATTGTTAACATCTTTTTTAGGCAATTCTTTGTGATCTGTGTAACTGTGGATGTACTAGGGTTGTGTCCTTTGTCTACATACTCTGTACTTAAAGATGTTCCTCCTTCCCGTCTCAGAAAGTTGGGAGGAATACATCTAGAGCTCCATGAGAGAGGTTTAACCTTGCTTCCTGTCCTGCTGACAATGGTATTACCTGATTGAAAGTGAGGAAACATCTGAAACAGGGACAGAGCCAGAAATAAAAATCTGATAGGGGTTGTAGCCTTCTTCTTCTCTACTAAAATTAAACATTTTTATTTATGACCGTATTACTGTTGGATAATCCCTTGTTTAGGTAAACAATGTCAGCAGGACAGGAAATGAGGGGAAACCTCTCTAAAAAAGTTATGGATAGCAATAAAAACCTGACAGGGTTTGGATTTTTCTCCACTCTATCCG